CGAGGCAGCTCCCCATACTAATTAGATAGGAAAATCTGGGGATTGAAATCAGGTATTAATACTTCTCGATAGACTTCAAGTTCGGACACTATTGCTTTAGGTACTTAAGTCCCCTGCCCCCATATTAAGCCCTTATTACTAACAGCTGATTCTAAATAGGATGGTGCATAAGCATCAGAGGGAAAAAAAAAAGGATATCTTTATGGCTACATTTTTAAGTGAAAACCTGCAAATGGAAAGGTATTTTTAAATATCACTACATTGTAATTTACCATTAAAGTAGGAAGACACAGTGTATTTATTAAGTACTTTGCTTATTTTTTAAAGCATTATCTCATTTCATCCTCACCTCAACCCTATGAGGCTATATCAGGCATGTTTAACAGTTGAAGAAAGAGAGGCTCAGAGAAAACAACTTATTCAGGGTCTCACATCATGTAACTGGCAGAGCCAAGATACAAGTTCCTATTTGTGCAATTTCAAGGCTGGTGCATTCTCCAACATGCTGTAACTCAAGAAGAAAAGAGACTGAGAGCCCTCTAAAGAGTTACATTTTTTTTTTCTGGAGGAAATATGAATTTCATGAAAGGACAAATTTGAAAACTAATTTAAAAAATGAATAGGGGGAAAGCATCCCAATTAAATCTGTAAGCATTTTTATGAGCCACAAAAATATTACCTTCAGTTTTTACAAAAAAAAATTTGCTCCCAAGTAACATTAAATAAATGAATTTTAAAAATCAAGCATTCCTTATTTTTCAGTTTTGTAAACAGATCTTTAAGAAGTACCATCATTAGAGGGAAAACTGACTGATGAGAAAGAATTTATTAAAAAACATACAATCTAAATTAACTAATGCAGTGACTTAACTAAATTCTGACACAGTTATTAAGTTTAAAATGCACAGATTTTCAGAAGGGTCTCAGCTCTTTCACTGGCTGGCTCTTTTATGTAATTCCATTTACACCAAAAAGTTAATGTTGATTAAGTGACAGAGGAACAATAAGGAAACAGAGGGTTTGAACAACACTATGTAGATCAACTGGACCTCACAGACATATGAACCCTGCACCCAACTGTAGTAGAATATGCATTCCTCTCAAGTGTACATGGAACATTCTCCAGGACAAACCATGTTTCAGGCCATGAAACAAGTCTTAACAAATTCAAGACTGAAATCATACAAAGTATTTTTTCTGATCACAAGGGAGAAAAATAGAACTCAAGTTTTACAAAGTGAAAACCTGAAAATAGAAAGGCATTTTAATATATTATCATACTGCAATTTATTATTAAAGTAGGAAAATAAAAAGTATATTTATTGAGTACTTTGCTTATGTTTTAAGAGTTATGTTATTTAATCCTCAAATATAAGGAAATTACACAACAGACTCTTAATCAATGAGTCAAAGATGTTACAAATGAAATTAGAAAACACCTTGGAAGAAATGAAAATGAAAACACAACATACCCAAACTTACGAGATGCAGCTAAAGCAGTGCTAAAAAGAATTTCATAGATAAATGTATACATTAAAAATAAGAAAGATCTCAAATTAACAACCTAATTTGACACCTCAAAAAACTACAAAAAGAATAAACTAAATCCAAAGCTGGCAGAAGGAAGAAAATAATGAAGATTAGAGCAAAGATCAAAATAGAGAACAGAAAAACAATAGAAATAATCAACAAAACTAAGCTGGATTTTTAAAAAGATTTGATAAATCCTTAGCTAGACCAAGAAAAAAAAGAAGACTCAAATAACTAAAATCAGGAAAGTGGGGTCAATACAACTGATGCCACAGAAATAAAAAAAGATAATAAGACAATACTATGAAAAACTGTACATCCACAAATTCCAATAACCTAGAAATAATAAATTCCTAGACACACAACCTACCTAGACTGACTCATTTAATAAATGGTAAATCTGAACAAACCAATAATGAGTAAGGAGATTAAATCAGTAATCTAAAACTTCCCCCCAAAGATAAACCCTGACCACATGGCTTCACTGAAGAATTCTATCAACATTTAAAGGAGTAACACTAGTCCTCTGGAATTCTTCCAAAAATACTAAAGAGGAGGGAATACTTCCAAGCTTATTCTATGAGGCCCTGATAGCAAAGCCAGATAAAAACCCTACAAGAAAACTACAGACCATTATTTCTGATGAATAATATGTAAAGCTCTTCATCAAAGTACTAGCAAATAGAATTGAATAACACATTAAAAGGATTACACACCATGACTAAGGGGGATTAGTTCCTGGAATGCAAGAATGGTTCAACATAGGGCAATCAATCAATATACTATGTACCACGTAACAGAATTAAAGGAATCACATGATCGTCTCAATAAGTATAGAAAAAAGATTTGACAAAATTCAACACTTCTTCATGGTAAAAACATTTAACAAACTAAGAACAGAAAAACACAATCTCAACTTAACAAAGCAATTTATGAAAAGTCCAGAGCAAACATCATACTCAATGGTGAAAGGCTGAAAACTTTTCTTCTAAGATTGGGAACAAGGACGCCCACTCTCATTTCTTTTCAACATGGTATTAGAAGGTCTAGCCAGAGCAAATAGGCAAGAAAAAGAAATGAAAGGCAGCCAAACTACAAAGGAAGAGGTAAAATTGTCTCCATTCTAAGATGGCAGGATCTTATACGTAGAAATGCCTACGGGTTATGTGCATGTGTGCATGCACTCACACGCACTGTTAGAACAAATAAATTCAGTCAAATCGCAGGACACAAAATCAACACACAAAAACCAGTTGTTTCTATACACTAACAATGAACAATCTGAAAAAGAAATTATGAAAACAATTCCATTTACAGTAGCATAAAAAAAGAATTTAACACTTTAGGAATAAACCTAACCAAGCAGTTGAAAACCTTGTACACTGAAAACTACAAAACATCGTTGAAATAAATTCAAGAAAACACAAATAAGTGGAAAGATGCTCACAGACTGAAAGGCTTAAAACTGTTAAGATGTCCTTACTCTCCAAAGCGTCCTACAGATTTGACACAATCGCAATCAAAATCCCAATGGCATTCTTCATAGAAATATAAAAATTCATCCCAAAATTGATACAGAATTCCAAGGGACATGTAAATAAGTCAAAATAATTTTCAAATAGAAGAACAAAGTGAGAGGACTCATATTTCCTGATTTTAAAATGTATTCGAAAGCTAAGCCATCAAAACAGTGTGGTACTGGCATAAAGACAGACTAGTGAAATACTACAGAGGGCCCAGAAATAAATCCTTGCATATATGATCAAATGATCTCTAACAAGGGGGCCAAGACCACTCAATGGGAAAAGACAGTCTTTTCAAAAAACAGTGCTGGGAAAATTGGCTATCTACATGCAAAAAAAAAAAAAAAAAAAAAAAAAAAAAAAAAAAAAAAAGAAGCTAGACCCTTATCTTTTTTTTTTTTTTTAATGTTTTTATTTATTTTTGAGACAGAGAGAGACACAGCATGAGCAGGGGAGGGGCAGAGAGAGAGGGAGACACAAAATCTGAAGCAGGCTCCAGGCTCTGAGCTGTCAGCACAGAGCCCGACGCAGGGCTCGAACTCACAGACTGTGCGATCATGACCTGAGCTGAAGTCGGATGCTTAACCGACTGAGCCACCCAGGCGCCCCAAAGCTGGACCCTTATCTTACGCTATGTACAAAAATTAACTCCAAAGGGATTAAAAACCTAAGTGTAAGATGTAAAACTATAAAACTCCAACACAAAAGCATAACAGAAAATCTTTATAACATTGGATATGGCAATAACGTCTTGGCAATGACACCAAAAGTATAGGCAACAAGAACAAAAAGAGACAAATGGGACCACAACAAGCATAAAACTTTTGGTGCATCAAGAGACGTTATCAAAAGAGTGAAAATGCAACCTATAAACAGGAGAAAATACTCATAAATCATATATCTGGTAAGAGGTTAATATCCAGAATAGATAATAGATTCCTAAAACTTAAGAACAAAAATCAATAACTCAATTAAAAATTGGGTAAAGAATTAAATAGACATTATTTCAAAGACGATATACTAATGGTCAACAAATATGTGAAAAGATGCTCAACATCACTAATCATCAGTGAAATGTCAAATCAAAACCACAATGAGGTATCACCTCACATCTATTAGGATGGCTACTGTCCAAAAAACAAAAAATAATAAATGTTGGTGAGGATGTGGAAAAACTCAAACGCTTGTACACTGTTGGTGGGGTTATAAAATGGGGCAACGGGTATGGAAAACAATATGAAATTTCCTCAAAAAATTAAAAACAGAACTATCATACGATTTAGCAATTCAACTTTGCAGTATGTATCCAAAGAATCAAAAGAAGGGTCTTGAAGAGATAGTTACAGTCAAGAGGTGGAAGTTACCCATCTGTCCAACAGAGAATTGGATATACAGGCAATGGGATATATTCAGCTTTAAAAGGCGAGGCAATCCCGTCACATGCTACAACATGGATGAAGCTTAAAGACATCATGCTAAGTGAAATAAGTTAGTCACAAAAAACCAAAATGAGTCCATTTATATGAGGTATCTAAAGCAGTCAAATTCATAAAGACAGAAAATAGAATGAATGGTGGTTACTAGGGGCTGCGGACCTGGGAGCTAGAGGGGAACGGGAGTCATTTAAATGGGTATTCAGATGAATTTCAGATGCACAAGATGAAACGTTCTGGAGATCTGTTTCATAACAATGTGAATATACTCAACATTACTAAACTGTATACTTAAAAATGGTTAAGATTGAAAATTTTATTATTTCATGATCATAAAAAAAATGTTTAAGGTACCGTTTACTGAATTATCCCTAACTCAATATGGGAATTATTAAGTACACATACACAGAGGTTTAAAACACGGAAAAAAATCTATTACAGTAATGCCTAAAAAGCTTACGAAAAGTATTTTAGATTCTACAAAGGAGTGCCGAAAACATACAATCGTACGTACCTTGGCTTGTCTCTTTTTTCTCTTTGTCTTTCAAAATCTCGTCCTCTGTCCTTTCCGTCTCTTGGTTTTTCTTCTATCCTGTCTTTTACTTTATACTTTTCTTTATATTTTTTCCCCAGAACAATATCTTCCTGTAAAGGAGGGGGTGGACTAGGCGTTCGAGGTCCTTTCTTTTTACTCTGGTTGCCTTTTGAATTCCTGAAGGTGACACAAAGCTATCATTAGAGGTCCAATTACTTTTGGGAGGTCAAATGGATATTTCTTCATCTTAAAAATGGTAGCATTCCTTCCAATGCCTTGCCTTTTACTATCTTACGCAATAGTAATCAATATCCAGAAAAAAAGCAACACACAGAAATGAGCGAATAATTTACTTGCCGCTTACATAATTTTAAAGGGTAGGTTTCTGAGAAAGATAGAGGTGGAATAGGAAGATTCTTTCCAACAAAAAAAAGGACACAGGACAACTTCATGAACTTTTTTTTTTTTAGCTTATATAGAAAGATAGATGAAGAAAATAAAAATCATGTATAATTCCACTACCCAAGGATAACCCTTGTTAACAACTTGGATCTATGCCCACACTTTTTCCATGTCTCTTTCCCCCTCCCCCAATCTTTTTACAACGTTTTCTAAAATTTTTTGTACTAAACACAGCATGGGGATCTTTCTACAACAAAAAATAGATGTAATAATTTTTATAAATTGTATTGAATTTCATCCAATAGATATGCTCCATAACTAAACAGTTTCAGATTAAGTTTTTAGGTGGCCTCCATGTTTTATTTTAAGGAACAGAAAATTATATCATCTATAAATGAAATCCTAAACATTGTTAATAAACATTCATTTAAATCTTTGAGTTAAGAAATATTTCTCAACTCTAAGGTTACAAAAACAGTCCTCTAATTTTTGGGAATTCTGTCTTTTACTCTTAATCTACCTAAAAGTGATGTTTGGGTGTAGAATATTCTCTTTAATTTAGCACTTTAAATAATTTTATCCAAATGGTGTGACTTTGACCCTTTTGTATCCAAAGTTATGCCTTTACCTCATACCTGCACAATAGTTTGACTGAATACAGTATTTTGGTATCACTATCCTTTTACCTCAGACCTTTATAAATATTGTTAGAATATCTTATAACATTTAGTGTTGTAGATGAAAAATGTAGAGTCCATTTTTTTTTCCCTATGCATGTTACCCAGTTTTTCAGCTGGGATGATTATAATTCTTCCTTAGAAATTAAAATTTTCATGAAGATATATCTAGGTTTTCTTTTTTTAACCTCTTCCAGAACTCAGTGAACTATTTAAAAAAAAATTTTTTTTTTAACATTTATTCATTTTTGAGAGAGAAAGACAGAGCGCAAGAAGGGGAGGGGTAGAGAGGAAGACACAGAATCTGAAGCAGGCTCCAGGCTCTGAGCTGTCAGCACAGGGTCTGACGCGGGGCTTGAACTCACTAACTGTGACATCATGACCTGAGCCGAAGTCCGACGCTTAACAGACTGAGCCACCCAGGCGCCCCAAAGAAAAATTACTTAAAAATTATTTTAAAGATAAAATAATAGAGGAATTCTTGACACAAACTGTATTTTCACATTACTTCTGTGACAGAGATTAGCTAGGTGTTTACTAAATTTTGTCCTGGGCACACTGCTGGAACTATACTGTCTAGACTTCTTTGAAATGAGATATGGCCAAGTGACCAAGTTCTGGCCAAAAAATGCTTGTGGAATTGTACACCACTACCAGGCCTAATAAATGATTCTCATACTCCAGGCAATTGTAAACTGTAGAGCCCAATAAGAGCAGTACTCCAATTAATTTTTTGTCTTTAGGCGCTCCATTTTTTTGATGTCCACAAAACCCAAGCGAAGCCATCTCAAAAGGAGCCTGGGTTACTGAATCTTTATGCATAAGAGAGACACCTGTTAATCAGAAACACCCACTCTGATTTGCTTTGAGTGAGAAATAAACCTCTGTAGCATTGAACTCAGATTTTGGGACTAAGCTATTATAACAACAGAATTATATCAATACACTCACTATGGTATAGAATTTCTTCACATTTCCTTCAAAACTATACGTAGTTGGAAATCACAATTATGTTACAATATAGGCTTTTCAAGTGCCTTCCAACTACAGGGGTCAAAATTGGTTCTGCACATTCTAAAGGCAACAAGATCTTTCAACCTTTTTTAAGTCAATTGATTTCTCCGTAATGGCACAGAGTGTACCTCCCACTTGTGGCACAGAGTTCAATTAATTTCATCTATCATTTTTAGATCCTTTCTTTCTCTGCATCAGACTCTGTGCTGACAGCTCAGAGCCTGAAGCCTGCTTCTGATTCTGTGTCTCCCTCTCTCTGCCCCTCCCCTGCTCGCACTCTGTCTCTAGCTCTCAAATGAATAAACATTAAAACAAACAAACAAACAAAGAATCTGAATTTTATTCAACCAAATGGAAAACCACAGAATTTTTCAATGGCATAGTAAATTAACTGCAATCGTTCTTTCAAGATTTCTCTCACAACATCCGTAAAATGAATGAATACAGGGGGTTGAGGAATGAAATGTTTATGTGCACAGGAGAGTGGACACTAGATAAAGTAGAAGGATGATACAATAACCTAGGCAAAAAGTAACTGGAGTCCGAAATAGGGTTAAAGACTCTAGAAACTAGAAGGAAGACAAATACAAGTTTCACTGTGGATTCAGATAGTTTGCCAACTGGTCGTATGTTGAAAGAGGTTAGTTTAGCTTTTTTCCTTGAACAAAATTAGTGTATACGCTTTCATTAAAACAAAATTTAGGGGCGCCTGGGTGGCTCAGTCGGTTAAGTGTCCGACTTCGGCTCGGGTCATGATCTCACAGTCCGTGAGTTTGAGCCCCACGTCGGGCTCTGTGCTGACCGCTCAGAGCCTGGAGCCTGCTTCAGATTTTGTGTCTCCCTCTCTCTCTGATCCTCCCCTGTTCATGCTCTGTCTCTGTCTCAAAAATAAATAAACGTTAAAAAAAAAAAAAATTTAAATAGTAGAGTGACATTAAATAGAAAAATGTCTTCTGTCTTATTCTTAGTCCCTCAATGTAATATTTACTCATTTCTGCTTTTATTTCAACTGGCTATTGCAGTAATTCTAAATAATATATTCATACTGCTTAGTATAAACTAAGAATCTAATCTCATGACCATGTGCACAAGGAGACAAGAAAAATGTTCACTGTGTATAATTTGTAACAGTGAAAAACTGAAAACAACTTATAAGTTCAACAACAGAAAAGTAAACACATAGTATACTCAAATGACAAAAGGCTACATAGATCAATACAAATATAAAAAATGTTAAGTGAAAAAGAAAGTTGCAGAAGCAAAGCTTTAATATGTAAGTACTACGACTAAGTAGATAAAAATAATACACATGAAAGTATAAACACACATGCTCAAGTACCAAAAACAAATTCAAGAGGGAAGGAGAGAAAATACATAGGTGTGTTATGATTTAAAAAAAAAAAAAAAAAAGCTCTGAAGGACAGCAGATGGGACACAGACATTTGTTTTATTGTTCTCTATCAATTTTCTTTTAAACAGAAACATTTTGTACCTTTATTTTCTTTTCAAATTTTTATTTAAATTCTGTTAACACACAACCCAATACTGGTTTCAGGAGTAGCAATCAGGGATTCATCACTTACATGTAACACCCAGTGCACATCACAACAAGGGCCCTCCTTAATACCCATCACCCAATTAACCCATCCCCTACCCACATCCCTCCATCAACCCTCAGTTTGTTCTCTATCTTTAAAAGTCTCTTCTTCTGGTTTGTTTCCTTCTCTCTCTCATCCCCACCCCCCATATGTTCCTCTGTTTTGTTTGTTAAATTCCACATATGAGTGAAATCATATGGTCATACCTTTATTTTAGAAGAAAAAAACTTACATTAAATACTGAATGTATTACAAGGATTCTTCTGTAATCTACTAATTCTTCTGAGTATCACTTCAGATTTTGGGTATCACTTCAGAAAAAGCTATTTCATTCTGGCGTTATTTACCACCCTACTGACCTCTGCTGGTCCAACAAGGGTGAGGATACTGCAGTTGCCTTCCTGTCTTTCTTGCTTGCTGAAGATGACGATTTAGGGCTTGACTTTCGCTTTGGAGATTTGCTTGACTTTCTTAGAGAAGGAGATGGAGATAATTTTGATCGAATCACTTCTGGTGAAACCTTTTAAAAGAATTCAGTAGATCAATCAGAAACTCCTTCAATCATGGGTGTTATAATCAGATAACAAAGCAGGTGTTTCTAAATCATACCAAAATTCAAATGAAATATTCAGTGCTGTTATAGCCACCAAGTGTTAGTGTGACTTCTAAACATGCGCTTTTAACCAGTATGCTAATTACAATTACCTGCCCTAACATAACACTATTATTAACAAAGCAAACCAAAATTATACAATTTCAAAATATCCTCAGAAAAATCACAAATTACATTCCAATAAATTGTACCCCTACTCTTTAAAAAATAAACAAGTATTCTAGACATAGCTTAGGCCTAAGAAACAGACATACATAGATTCAAATCCCATTTAACATTAGCCGGTGAATCTATGCAGCACAACCTTAGTTTTTTCACCTGTCCAAAAGCAAAAATATTTCCTATTTATCTAATAGAGTAATGTGAATATTAACATGTAGTTGATTTACAGTAACGTGATCAACTTATCAACATCCTGATACAATTTAAGACACAACAAATGGCTAATGAGTTCTCTGATCAATACCCATGTTGATATTAATTGCTAACATGTATTTCAATAGCATACCTCCTTTTTAATAATAATTTCTTCTCTTTTGTCCATGTTTTCTTGTTCGAGCTTCATTAATTCCCTCTGTATCTTCTGACGCTTCATTTCCAACGACAACTCATGAACATAATCATAATTAATATCTCCATTGTCAGAATCTTTAAGATAAAATTCCATTACTTGTCAGAAACTATCAAAATTATCTACACCAAAAATTAGGGAAATTTTTTCAACTAATTTTTTATGCAAATTAAAATGGTGGTCTTTCATTAGAATAACATACTTCTCAAAGATAAAAAATATACACTGTTTCTATAAAGGGTTAAAATCAGTATGGCTGATTTCCTTATGAAACGCCAAACATTTTTAAGACACTTGGGTTTTCTTAAAGTGATTTTGGGTTGTCTGGCAGTTGGGTTTTTGGTTAGGAGATGGGATTTCACAATTTTACCGTTAAAAAACTCACATGTAAATTCTAAGTATTAAAAATACCAAAGCCTTCAGTATTTCAGGCTGTATATATGATTTCATTATGTCCTTGACTTTCTTAAAGATTCATCAGTATTAAATGAAGGTAGCATTAGGTGTCCTACATTGCTTCCATATTTCTTTTTTATTAGTGACACAACTGATTTGTATCTAAAACTAAAGTTTGGTAATTTTAACACTAATGTGTACATGAGCTAACATCCGAAAGATCTGTAACTTTTCCATTATAAGCAATTTGTGATAGTTCCTTAGATCAGAACTGTCCATCTCCTCAACAGATGTGGTACGATGTCTCTATTTCCATTCATTTTTTCCAGTGGAAAAAATATAAAGACTTGTTAAGGAAAAAAAAAAAAAAAAAAAAAAAAAAAACCAGGAAAGAAAAAGAAAGAATGATGTGCAGAGCTATTCCTTCGCAACATGCAGAAGTTTTTGGGGGCTACTGGCACTGTCACCCAGCCTCTCACCATCATTTGTTATATATAAATGCCAAAGAGCCTAGAGGAAGGAATTTCAGTGACTCTTATCCTAACACATGACAATGTTGGGCTACACTGATAACAAACTGAGGTGCCTTTTCTAACTTTTCTAACTTTTAGCACTGAAGATCACCATTCCTTAACCTGGGGTAAAGAAATAAAATGAAGAACTAAAAAACGACGACGATAAATAGTCCTATTTGACTGTCGAAAACACAAGAAAATGAACATCATTGTCGTGTACAGATCAAATACATTATAATTCCAACTATCCATTTATTTGCTTGGGAACAGAGAGGGTAACTACATATCCTCTATCTGTGTAACTAAATTGATTGCTCATCTGATATTGGAAGATTATGACAATTTTTCAGTAAATATATAAAATAGACTAAATCACATTTTTCAGTCAGAAAGCAATTACTAAATATTTAAGGACTATATTTACTAGATATAATTTACTATATTTAAGAGCTATATTTACTAGATAAAATTATTGGAAATACTGAATTTAATTGAATAAATAATGGCTATCTGCATACTATTTTGTACTCTGAGACACTTTGTATCAATGAATAATAGGGTTCAAAGATTCAGTTTGACAGTATTCTTAAATTGCTAGCAGATAAAATTCCATAGCTAAATACTAAGTATGTATAAAACAAAGGGAAGAGTAATTAATTGTGAAGAATGATTTATAGTGTTTTTAATGGTATTATCAATTAATACCCTGCACCCCTCTAAAAACTACTACCTGGAAATATCACCAATATAGAACACAGGTAAGAAATGAAAAGTTGGCTTTCAGTCCTTCAATCCCCAGCTATCCTACCAAAGGGGTAAGCCGGAAGAGTTAAAATATATGTCAGAGTCAATGTACTATAATATATTTTGCTCAGAGGAAAAGCTCTCTAGTCTTTACTCAGATTTATTCTTATTTTATGCATAGTTATTATAAACAAAAGGAAGATGTCTTCCTAGCCTATAAGGAGATGAAATACAAAACAGACATGATGCAACCTGACAAAAAAAAAGAAGTCTGAAAGCATTTAATAAATTTAGAAAATGTGTCTCATACTTTGAGGTTATCATTATAACTGCCTAATAAAAACTGATTCATATAGATAGATGATTAGTCTAAGTCATTAGAAAAATATTAAATACAATTAGAATGGCATATTTTACAAGGCAGCTATTTTTAAAAATATATAATACAAAAATACAATACATAAGGTTGACATTCCTCATACATACAGAGTTCTTACTGATTGAAAGGAGAATGCAAGGACATGAACAGGCAATTCACAAAAAGAAGGAAATGCAAATGGTACCTAAATATGCCTTTTTCATGTATTAAAGAGGTACTTTTTTCTAATTATAGTATTAGGTATTAGCAAAGGTATAGATAAAAGGTATGTTCACTCTTTGAAGGTTAACAATGCAAACTAGGACACTGGGACATCTATCTTGGAAAGTAATTAGGCAATGTGGGTAAAAGCCTTAAGAACATTAATACCCTTTAATAAAACAATTTTACTTCTAGTAATCTGTTTTATGCAAATAATCATAGAAATATACAAGGTATACGTATATGGATTAACGGTTGAGTATTTGCTTCTGTCTTTAATATATACATTCTCACTATTAAAAGTGTGAATTCTTAAGTACACAGGGTGAATGGAGAAATTCCATTACACTCCTCCCACTGTTACCTTACTCCAGTGATAACAATGTTACTAGTTTAGTGTTGTATGCATAAAAATAAACCTTTATATTTATGCTCTTTAAAATAATGGGACTAAAACTACACACAATGCCCTATAGAAATACCTTTCTACATCATACAAAGAGGAACCATTTTAACATCTGAAAAGCATTTCATAATATGAACACATTGTAATTTAGTGAACCAGTTTCCTTCTGAAACACACTGTTTTTAATATTTTGCTCTATAAACAAGACTTCAATGGACATTCTGACACCTTCCTTGGTTCACAAGTGCAAAGTATTTCTTTAGGGCAGATTTTTTTTTTAATGTTTATTTATTTTGAGAGAGAGTAAGCTAGTGAAAGAATGGTGAGCAGGTGAGGGGCAGTGAGAGAGGGAGAGAATCCCAAGTACGCCCAATGCTATCAGCGCACAGAGCCCGATGGGGTACTTGAACGGTCATGCACCGATCATGACCCAAGCCAAAATCAAGAGTCAGATGCTTAACCAACTGAGGCATCCAGGTGCCCCTAGAACAGATTTCGTAAGCTACAGAGTTGCTGGATCAAAGAGAAGTGTAACTTTATTTTTAATATTACCAAACTACACCTCAAAACAGCTTTTACCAACGGAAACTCCCATTTCTAACGTTTGTATTTTTCATTTCTGTCAATTTGATGGATAAAAAATGCTACCTTTTTATTTTCCTTGACTTCCTTCTGTAGTGAGCCCGAGTACCAACTGACCATTTCTATTTCCTCTATGAATTACCTATTTAATTTTTTTTGCCCATTTATCAACTGGACTGTATTTTCCTTTTATTTGTGGAGCTCATATGTTTATATAGTACTTTTACCATGTGCTTATACATGTTATACATGGTAAATATGTCCTTTTGGTGATCTACTTCTTAATTATTAAACTGTAGTTTAGTTACACAGAAAATTTAAATCTTTATGTACTCAAATAAGGCTTCTGGGTTTTATGCCTTACTTCAGGAGAATGTACCCACCTATAAGATTACCAAATACGTTCATTTATTTCCTCTTCTACTGCAATGACACTTTTCCTTTTTATGTTACTGCACTTGTCAGTATGGTAAACAAATAAGACGAAGTTTAAGGAACCAATTAAAAAACAGACTTGGGGGTAAGGAGTTGGAAATATAGGCAGCAACCAGATAATGAAAAGTTCTGTACAGTAAGAATTTGTACTTGGTTCCTGAAGGCAATGGGAAATCCACATTTTATTTGCTTTTTTCTTTTTTAATGTTTGCTTATTTTTGAGAGACAGAGCATGAGTGGGGGAGGGGCAGAGAGAGAGAGGGAGACATGGAATCCATAGCAGGCTCCAGGCTCTGAGCTGTCAGCACAGAGCCCAGTGCAGGGCTCAAACTCATGTACCATGAGATCATGACCCAAGCCTAAGTCGGACGCTTAACCAACTGAGCCAGCCAGGCACCCCGGGAAATCCAAATTTTATGCAGAGGAATGAAGACATTTTTTCTTTCAAAAGAGCATTCTGGAACTCAGAGAGTGGAAGAAGATATTCACAATACGTATATCTGATAAAAGATCTTATATCCAAAGTATATAAAGAATTCTAAACAATTAAGAAAACAGGTAATGCAATACAATAGGCAAGTCTGGAACACACAGTTTACAAAATAGATTGTACAGTGGTCAATAAACGTGAAAAAGTTGTCAACCTTATTAGTCATTAGGGAGATGCACACTAGAACCACAATAAGATACCACACACCTCCAGAATGGCTAAGATGAAAAAGATAAAAAGTACCATATGAAAAATAATCATTTTTATTTTTTTTTTAATTTTTTTTTTCAACGTTTTTATTTATCTTTGGGACAGAGAGAGATAGAGCATGAACGGGGGAGGGGCAGAGAGAGAGGGAGACACAGAATCGGAAACAGGCTCCAGGCTCCGAGCCACCAGCCCAGAGCCCGACGCGGGGCTCGAACTTACGGACCGCGAGATCGTGACCTGGCTGAAGTCGGACGCTTAACCGACTGCGCCACCCAGGCGCCCCAAAATAATCATTTTTAATTTGACATTATCTACCAAAGATGAACATATGCAAACTCCATGATCTAGCAATCCAATTTCCAGGCATAAGATGAAGAGACATGGGTACAAGTTTAGCAAAAGATATGATTAAGAACAGTAACAGCACCCTACTCATAACTGTTCAAAATTAGAAATTATTCAAATGTTTAGCACCATTAGAATGGATAAATTATGACATATTCATACAATGAAATTCTATACAGCTATAATAATAAACTACAACTATGTGCAATAAATAATACGGTTAATCTCAAAATATACTGTAAGCAAAGGAAGCTAAACATAAAAAGAGTACTGCTATATATTCCATTTATACAGAGCTCACAAACAGACAAAACTAATCAATGGTGGTAGAAATCAGGGTAGTAGTTATCTGTGGGAGGTGAGGGTTGGGAGTTAGTGACTGGAAAGGGAGCACAAAGGGGTTTATGGGATCCTATTAATTTTCTATTTATTGACTTGGGTACAGATTATACAAGTTTGTTCTGTCTGTGAAAATTCAGTGAGTTGCACACATGAATCATGCACTCTTCTGAATGTATACTACACTTCAGTTAAAAAAATTCTTTTAAGATTATTCTGGCTTTCAAGTGGAGAATGAATTAGAAGACAAGATTAATAACTTCAAGGCATGAGGTTAGGAGGCTATTGTGGTAAAATATATTTGTACGCAGTAAACAAATAACTAAAATATTAGTAGTCATTTAGAAAAACAGGTGGTTTTGAAAGATAGGCAGAACTGTCAGAACTCTGTAAACATCTAGGGTGAGGGGAAGAAATATCAAATAATAACTCCCAGGCTTTGGGGGACCCAGTAGAAAGTGGTAGTCTTAGGGAACTCAGATAGATCCAGTTGACAGATGCCTCAACTGAGAGCTCCAGATACTGCATTCATTAACACACAGATGCTAATGATGCCCTGAAAGGATGACTTCATCTGGAAGGAAAAATTAAAATTGAGAAGAGGTGGCTAGGCAAAGGGAAAACAACTGAAAGCAGAAGCCACTTCTAGAAACAAGTGGTTCTCAAAGAGGGGTCTGAGGACTCCTTGGGATCTCCAAAACAGTTCTTGGAGTTTCAGAAGATCAAAAATATTTCTACAATACTACATCACTTGGGTGGCTGGTCTACTATTCTCTCCTGGGTATACAGCGGGGTTTTCCACAAGTCACATGATACGCAATACCATTAACAGATTGAATGCGGAACCAGACATAAAAATCTAGATGTCTTCAACTAAGCCAGATGTTAAAAAGATTTACAAAAACATGTAAAACACTGCCCCCTCCTTGTGATTTTATTTTTAGTTTCCAAAACCAATCTATTTTCTTTTTAAATTTTTTTTTTTCAACGTTTATTTATTTTTTTGGGGGACAGAGAGAGACAGAGCATGAACGGGGGAGGGGCAGAGAGAGAGGGAGACACAGAATCGGAAACAGGCTCCAGGCTCTGAGCCATCAGCCCAGAGCCTGACGCAGGGCTCGAACTCACGGACCGCGAGATCGTGACCTGGCTGAAGTCGGACGCTCAACCGACTGCGCCACCCAGGCGCCCCTATTTTCTATAAAAGTATATGCTGGGCTTATTATTTTCACTGTTCAATAAATTCATAAATAAGTATTTAAAAAATTTCTCAGATTCAGTTTCTAATATGGCAAGAATTAAAACAAATAACCCACTAAGTCAAAAGCTGTTTGGGATCCTTAAAAAAAGTGACAAGTGTCATGAGACCAAAAAGTTTGAGAAATACTAATACAAAGCAATTTCTTCCGAGTCTAGCTAAAACTGCTATTCACGTTAGATTTAAAACGTAGAAAGTCTATTAAATTGGTTCAGTGTCATTATCTGGGGATTGAGATGACTATATTCATGCTTCAATATTCTTCCAAACATGTTTTAATCCATAGAGACAAAATATCAAAACCTGTGAGTTCAAATCAAGAGAAAACTGTAATAGCCATGTGTAGATTTTATATATAAAACTATTATAAAAGGCATCTACTCACCTTTTAAATGATTTTTGTATAGTAAAATCACTTTAGTTTTTTTAAAGATGATAGCCTAGAGCAAAACCTTGGGAATCAACATTTAAGGGATAGATAAAACACAAGGAGCCTCCGTTCAAGACTGGAGGGCTTCAAAGGAAGACAGAAAAACTGAAGAGTGATAGATGAAATCCAAGGACAAAGTGTTTCAAAAAAGGCTCTCGAATGCTGCAGAAAGATTACAGAATAGAGACAAGTATCAGGGTGCCTTGGTAGCTCAGTCACAGTTTGGCTCAGGTCATGATTTCACAGTTCATGGGTTGTAACCCTGTATATGGCTGTCTGCTGACAGCTGAGAGCCTGGAGCCTGATTTGGATTCTGTGTCTCACTCTTTCTCTGTCTCTCTCCTGTTCACGCTGTCTCTCTCTCTCTCTCTCTCTCTCTCTCTCAAAAATAAATAAACAATTAAAAAAAAAAGAGAGAGAGACAAGTATGTCTCTATTTATTTAGCAAAGAGGAGGTCATCAGTGACCTTGAAAAGCCATTTTACTGAAGACATGGGTCAGAAAACTGAGCAAGTATGAGGTGAAAAAAGTAGAGACAGTAAGGCACAGAGTTACTTCACAAATTTAGTTGTAAAGTGGGGATAAGCCGGGTGATGGGTAAAAGTCATGCGGGGAGAAGAGAAAGAGTGTCCAGATGGATGTTAAAGATGTAAAAGAGAATGTATAACAAATGAACAAGATTGCAGAAGGGGGAGGAAATCAGATTCAGGACACAGGAGTAGATAACCTTATATAGCAAGAGGGAGGCTTCTTACAAAGAACAAAAGAGAAAGAATAAAGTTCAGGTGGGGAAAAGAAGACCAGCTTGTAAGTGTGGTAGCAGGAAGGTGAGGGAGTTACTAGATGGTGAGTTGCATCATCTCTGTGTAGTAAACAGCAGACAGGAGATACGAAGGGTCCACGGGGAGATCTGAGGAGAGAGTCTGAAATAGCTACTATGAAGACAAGGAGGAAACTCTTCTTAGGCTTTTAAATGGGAATAGAGAAATTTTTATTTTTAAAGATTAAGGGGTATCTAGTATATTTCAGAATATTTCTTATCTGAAAGTAATTAAAATGAAAAGAATGCTGAGTGTGTTTAGCTAATCCCTTCATAGTTAGGCAAAGTTCGCTATCCAACCTCAAACAGTCAAGATTTATAGTATTTTATTTCAATATATGAACTATTTAGTCACCTACAATGAGACATTATAGCTGCTTCTACTACTATTTTGTAAGAGGTATTACATTGACTTATGAAATCCCAATAAACTAATCATAAGGAAATTCCCTATCTGCTCTTAGGAGTAAGTGTTAAGTAGACAACACTGCCCAGAAGTGGAATGGATTTCCTAAAAAAAATACTGATGTTCAAATTACAGGAGAGGCATTTAGCATACTTTTGAAGTCTCAGAATAGATCTCTTTAGAGACTGTTCTTCAATGTAATAGTAAATATTTTAGGCTTACAGACTGTTGGCTCTCATAAGTACTCGACTCATCCACAGTAGGTCAAAAGCAGCCACAGGAAATATGTAACCAAATAGGACTGGTTGTGTTCCAATAAAACTTTATTTGCAAACACAGGTGGCTGGCCTACAAACTATAATTTTTTTAACTCTTGGTCTAAGTTTTCAGTTTACTGCTGAGGAACTTGCTTAAATTCTTACATTCTTTAGTTTTGTCATGTGTAAGTAGAGTAACAAAGCTACTGAATTAATGAGGTAATTACATAAATGATACTGCAATGCCCAGCACACCCAAAGCATTCAATAAATGTGACTTTCCTTTCTCTATTTGGTAGTGTGAGGCTCTACTGCTCACCTTCAGAAGGTCATAAAAGTGAGAAAGAACATTCATGGTATGAAAAACAAATGCTAACTTGTTAAATGATGCAAAGATGATTTTGCTATTACTCACGAACAAATCCCTGGTCTCAATTAGTATGTGAATTGGATTTCTTCTGAAAGGTGAAAGTCTACAATTTCTTGGAAATAATTTTCCCAGATCTTTAAGATTTAAAAATATTATTTTAATATTTTATGTAATACAAACAAAATTTAGGGGCACTAGGGGGGCTCGGTTGAGTGTCTCACTTCGGCTGAGGTCACGATCTCACGGCTCGTGAGTTAAAGTCCCACATGGGACTCGCTGCTGTCAGCACAGAGTCTGCTTCGGATCCTCTGTCCCCGCCTCGCCATCCCTCCCCTGCTTGTGCTCTCAAAAATAAACACTAAAAAAAAATTTAGACATAATTTTTTAACTTAATTTTTTTTTAATTAACCCTTAATTTTTTAAGGGCCTAAAAACACTTAGAAAAGTAATACAATTTCAAAGAACTGTGATGCTGCTCAATGAAGTTCTGGGGGGGGGGGGGGGGGGGGGGGGGGAGGATGGGGAAGTTGAAAAATGCAGTGAGAATAGCCTTCTCTGACTTTGTTCCGCTACCACATGCTATTTTCTGTATTACAACTCATTAAAGTGGAAAGACGGCAGTAAGATGATTCTGAAACGAGGAGATAACAGTTGAAAAGTGTTTTGAAACCCAAAAAGTCTACAAAGTGAATAATCAATAGCTTGACTATATAAGCAAAGATTCTTGCACTCACCATCTCTATTAGTTTCCCATTCTACATTTTCTTCTTCACTTTCGGGAGTTCTCTCCTTAGTGATTTTAATGTCTTCCTTTTCCCTATGTCTCCCTCTCGAAGATTCTTTCTAAAAAGTATATATATACATACAGATTACCATATTTTTTAAAAATTATGAAATAGTTACTATAATACAGAATATTTCTAGCTTCATCTTTGTTTCATTAAAGAATCGATTTAGCAAATAATCACTTATCCACTAAGTAGAAGCGACAAGTTCTAGTGTAGCACCATAATGAAAACACTGTATTTTATCAAACAGCAACTTGGTAAAAGTAAGGAATAAGATTTTAAAATATACAATGCAAATATTTAATAAGCACTGGATAGTCTGAAACATACCAAGTTTCTACTTCTAAGTTTCTAGGGGGAAAAGACAGTTTAAAATGGATAAAAAGAAACAAAAGGATTTTTAAGTGACTATATTAAAAAATGCCTAAAAATGGCTACATTTTTCACAGTAGACTCAGAAATACTGATCTAAAACTTATCATACACTTAATGTAACAGCATTCTCCTGCACACTTAAAGATTAAATCCAAACTCATTTGGTAATTTTACAAATGCTTTTTTAAAAAGATGTTCCCCTCTTTTGATGAAATCAAAATGGTGGCTAAAATGGTTAGAAAATTAGTCCTTATACTATAGTTAAAAACACAAAAATTTACATTTTATTCCAGGTGTAACAGTATCCTACAAACAGAACAGGGCGATTTCAGCTTGTAAAATTTAATAACTATATAAGATAAAGACTCCAAACAACATTTTACTACGTGGTAAGAAAATAACCAGGGTTGTAGAATTGTTAACCTTCCTACCACAGTGTCTCACTTTTATTAACACTCTAAATCCTGACTATGTAAGAAACTAAAACTCAAGGACATTAATTGCTGAAAGTTCTTTCTGAGCATTACCAAACATAAAATGGCGCTGCTTACAACACAAATTAATTTCTCTCTGAAATCTTTTTTTAAAAAAATCTAGTATATATTATAATTGCCCTAAATTTTACATATTTAGGTACAAAGTCATGGTGTATCACTTGCTAAATGACACATATGGTATGAAAATAAAGGCTGACAAAAATATTAGAAAAGGTTCTACAAGAGTGCAACCAGCCATAGAAAAATACTAGGAGGGAGGAAGGTATGAAGGGAGGGGAAGGAAGGAAGGAAGGACAGACTAACTCCTATTTATATATAAGACAAAAGGAAAAAAAGGGACACAATTATTTTTATTCTTAAAATATATTCCATGGATTATCAAGGAGGAACTATTCTATATCCCATGTAACTTTTTAGTGTTCTATGGATTAAATTTACTATAATCTTACATTAGTACAATTTATATCAAAAAACTTTTATAGGAAGTTGTCCCCAAATTATTGAAAAATATAGTTTTCTACTTAAAGTAGCATGTAATACCCAACTACTAATTTAGTTGAAAAGGATTTCAAAGAAGTAGTAGTTGATACTGCAAAATAAAATAACCTGCAAGTGTGTAGCAAAGCATTTTTAACAGATTTAGAACTAAAAATGCAATCATCTCAATAAATATCATTAATAACATAAATATTTCCAATATTCACCCTATATAAATAAATTATGTAATTTTTGAATTGCTATTGTTTTTTTAATACAACAGAGTAGCTTGTCACCTTATTTCTTTTAAATGCAAACATATTAATTAGATGTGCAGCTGGGGGTGGGGGAAGGGCTGGGTGGCTCAGTCGGTTAGGCATCAGGTCATGATCTCATGACTTTGGCTCAGGTCATGATCTCACAGTTCGGAGTTAGAGCCCAGCATCAGGGTCTCTGCTATCAGCACAGAACCCACTCTGGATCCTCTCTCTCCCTCTCTCTCTCTGCCCCTCCTCCCCTCCTCTCAAAAATAAATATTAAAAACATTTTTTAAAAAGATATGCAGCCGTTTGATTACTTTATTATGTATTCTAAATTAGTCATCCCAGAACATGTACATGTTGAAATACTTGTTAATGAACTAAAGCATTTCAGCCAGTACACTTGGGATGAGATATTTTAAGAATTCAGAATTTTTTTTGGACTTCAAAGTATGCTAAGTAACAACACCAACAGGGTCTACAGCAGCAACCTGTGCTCAAACATACTAATATTTTTATAGCAAAACATGAAATCGCCAATTGTATAAAGACTATAATTAGCTTCATGTCAATTAAAATTAGGTTTTGCTGTCAAACAAATCTATGCCTCACTTAGAAAAGCTGGTATTAAAAATTTCTTACATTTCAGAAATGCAATAAATGATTGCAGGCTTTTACTTTAAATTATTTTCATTTTATTTTTAGTTTACAGTACATTCACATTTATTCCATAAACATTATATGTATGGATAGGTAATATTCATCATGAATTTTATTTTTTAATATCTTTTTAAATTTTAAGGTTTTTCATTTTTGCGAGACAGAGACAGAGTGTGAGCAGGGGAGAGGCAGAGAGAGGGAGACAGAATCCGAAGCAGGTTCCCGGCTCTGAGTTGTCAGCTGGGCTCTGATGCGGGGCTCGAACTCACAAACCACAAGATCAGGACCTAAGCCGAAGTCGCATGCTTAACTGAGCCACCCAGGCACCCCATGAATTTTACTTTTAGATAGTAAAGAGGCATTGCCAAGAATTTGATTTAAAAAAAAGCTCTGAGGCTAAAAAAAGTTGAAAACCAGTATTACAATAATTTGATTAGCAACTAAAGTCATAAAATGTTAGGAGTCTCTGTAAATAACATAATCCAACCTTCTCCTGCCCTATGTAGGAAATCTCTTAAATATCATATAGCTATGGAAGTCTTAGTAGATGAATAGAAGGAAAAATATTTACTCCCTAGGTCACCACTGATCTCTCTTCACTGTTACACCCCTTAGTCCCCATTTTCAGACAGCTCTTAAGTATCAAAAAATTCTTATACTGATCACAACTCTCTTACACCTCTCCAGAATTTCTGATTGGAATCAGTTCCGACCTCTAGATCATGGGAAAATAAATCTAAACATCTGTCACCCATCAGCCCTTTAAATATCTGAACACTGTTACTAAATCTCTTCAACATCTTCTTAGACAAGGCCAAAGATACACTTCACATTGATCACACATCAACATTTTGGAATTTTCCCACTTTATCACTCTGTCATTTTCCCTGGGCACGTCAATCTGCCAATGTAATTCAATAAAACATGAAAACTAAAATTAATCTAGTCTTGCCACAGCAGCACACAGCATATGGCTTCTGCCTCTCCTGGTGTAGAACTGAAATTATACTTGCATTAATAAAGTCTAACTTATTTTGCAGGATAAGTTTTGGGTGGAGCTTACACAAGGTACTATAAGCTTACAAACTACGTAAGTTTAAAGTACAGTCACATAAAATAAGGTGAACTTCAGGGCTGGGTGATGTAGTAACATACTGAAATCATTAGACATCAAACTTTCTTGTGTTGTTCCTCTCACAGCCCTGCCCTTCCTAATGCATGTTTCTTTTCCCGTAAGAAGCAATCTAGGTTCTCCCAGTGTGCTCTCCCTCAGTCATGAAATGAGAATTCATTCCTTCAGTTTGAGTGGGCCAACTTCAGTCACATGACCACATCTAAATCAATAGCAAACCAATCAATAAATCAAAAACTAATACCAAAGTAATGGCCGCAGGTGAAATGACTCAGGCCTGGTTCCTCAATCAACCGAATTAGCAAAGAGAATGGGATTATTATGACTGAATTAGACTAATCAGGCCCCAGCAGTGAACCAGGGTCAATTCCCCAAAATCACGATGCATCTACAAAATGAAAAAGTGATGGGATGGGTTCTGGTGAGTGCAAAGCAATTTACACTACACTTTTGGAACTACGCTTCACCTCTCCAAAGTACAAGGCCACACTTCCGACGATTTCATAGGCCAACACAAAACAGACTGTCCAACCTAGTAAACACTTTCTCTGTTCGCCTTTACGATTCACATTTCAGACCCTCCTTCTAAATCATTTGCTACTACCTTCCTGGTGCGTATCTTTTTAGACATTCTCTATTTAGTGAAGTTCTCCTAGTAGCCAACACTCGATTTTATCTAAAAATGTCTGTATTATATCTTCATTCTTGAAAAACGGTTTTGCTGGATATACAACTATGGGTTGACAGATTTATCTTAACGTTTTGGAAATATTATCCCAGTGTCTTTTGGCTTCCACTGTTACTGATGTCATTCTGTTGCTTCTTTGTAGGAGGATTTCCCTTTTTTTCTTGGGGTGTTTCTGGTATTTTCTCCATGGTTCTGGTATTTTACAACTGCATAATAATATTCCATTTGATATGTATTGTGACTTCTGTAGCTTTGTCTCATCAATTACAGAAAATTCACAGCACTACTCCTTTCAATAATTGACTCTCCTACATTCTATTTTTTTCCTGGAGTTCCAATGAGAGGTACATTAGACTAAGTATTTCCCCCAAACTTGTGAATCTCTTCAACATTATCTGTAACCTGTATTTATGTGCTGTGTTCTGGATAAATTTTTCAGCTCCATCTTCCAATTCAACAACTCTGTCTCCACAGATGGACCAAAAAGGCTTAGTCTCTGACCTGCTCTAATACTAGTAAAAGTCATAAGGTCACCACTAGCTTTCACATTTACTATTTAATTTTCTGTTCTTGTTTCTTTGTTTTTGCTGCTGTTTTACATTTTTGAGAAAGCAGCAATGCATTTAAAATGTGTTTGTTGTCACTTATTCAGGATCTAGTTTTACTGTAGTAAGAGGACCCTCAAAGTATATAGTCCATAATAGTGCTGAAAGGGAAAGTTAAGATTAACAATTCTAAAAAAATAAAAATAAATTTTTTAAAGCCTAACAATTCTTTAGCAATCACATCAAACTTTGTCTACTGCTTAAAGTAGAGCCAACTATTTCCCTTTGACTTATCCACAACTATTAGTTCAAGCCACCCTAGGCCATACGAGTGCAACTGACATTTTGTTCCTAAAGTCTGTTTATCCCTAAAACATGTTTGTTCTTTGTTAATGACAGGGAATGGTATTAATATGTATTA